AATTGAGACGCTCAGCACATAAAGAATACTGGCAGCAAATCTATGCAACTCAGCAATAACCTTTAGACATAAAAATATCAATTGCAGCACCTATTTAAGATAAGAGGGTCCCACTAACTTCATCCACTAGACACTCCCAGTGTCGGAAGATCAAGTCACAGAAAGCAAAGGCAGGAACTGGGAGAATGAAGAACTGCCCACTGCAGGAGAAGATCAGGGTCTTGAACCTGATCTAAGGAACCAGCAGATGCACAAGTCCATGGGACCTGATGAGGGGGGGACTGGGCGGAGAGAGTTGCAAAGCCGCTATCCAATATATTTGAGAAATCGTGGCAGTCCGGTGAACTTCCCACTGACTGGAAAAGGGGAAACATCCCCCCCATTCTTAAAATGGGAAAAAAGGAAGACCCGGGCCACTACAGACCAGTCCCAGCTCTGTGCCCAGCAAGATCACGGAGCAGATCCTATGCTAAGGCACACGCAAAATAAGGTGACTGGTGATAGCCAACATAGCTTCACTAAGGGCAAATCGTGCCTGACAAATTTGGTGGCCTTCTACGATGTGGTCACCATGTTGGTGAATAAGGAAAGAGCAACTGATGTCATCTACCTGGACTTGAGCAAACCATTTGACACTGTCCCACACAACATCCTTGTCCCTACATTGGAGAGACATGGATTTGATGGATGGACCACTCGGCGGATAAGGAATTGGCTTTATTGTCGTGCTCAAAGAGTTGCAGTCAAAGGCTCAATGTCCAAATGGAGACCAGTGACAAGTGGTGTTCCTCAGGGGTTGGTTTTGGGAACTGGTGCTGTTTAGCATGTTTGTCAGTGATATGGACAGTGGGATTGAGTGCACCCTCAGCAAGGTTGTTGACAACACCAAGCTGTGTGGGGCGGTCGACACGCTGGAGGGATAAGATGCCATCCTGAGGGACCTTGGCAGGCTTGAGAAGTGGGCCTGCAGGAACCTCATGAGGCTCTACAAGGCCAAGTGCAAGGTCCTGCACGTGGGTCAGGGTAAGCCCTGGTACCAACACAGGCTGGGGGATGAAGGGATTGAGAGCAGCCCTGAGGGGAAGGACTTGGGGGTACTGGTGGATGAAAAGCTCAACATGATCTGTCAGTGTGCACTTGCAGCCCAGGCGGCCAACCACATCTTGGGCTGCATCAAAAGAAGCGTGGCTACCAGGGCAAGAGAGGTGATTCTGCCCCTCTACTCTGCTCTGGTGAGACTCCACCTGGAGTCCTACGTCCAGCTCTGGAGCCCTCAGCACCGGAAAGACATGGATGTGTTGGAGCGGGTCCAGAGGAGGCCACAAAAATGATCTGAGGGCTCGAACACCTCTCCTGTGAAGAAAGGCTGAGAAAGTTGGGGCTGTTCAGCCTGGAGCAGAAGGCTTTGGGGAGACCTTATTGCAGCCTTCCAGTACCTGAAGGGGGCCTACAGGAAAGATGGAGAGGGACTTTTTAGAAGGGCCTGCTGCGATAGGACAAGGGATAATGGCTGTAAACTAAAAGAGGGCAGATTTCGATTAGATACGTGGAAGAAGTTCTTTACTATGAGGGTGGTGGGGCACCGGAACAGGTTGCCCAGAGAGGTTCTGGATGCCCCCTCACTGGAAGTGTTCAAGGCCAGGTTGGATGGGGCTTTGAGCAACCTGGTGTAGTGGACGGTGTCCCTGCCCATGGCAGGGGGCTTGGAACTAGATGATCTTTAAGGTCCCTTCCAACCCAAACCATTCTATGACTCTTACACTAAGCTTCAGCATGCAATGTTGTAGAATCAGACACATATGAATTACTAGATATGGAGGTAAATGAGAAGAAAAAAAACAGAAGTTGAACACATTTATCAAAGGTAAAGTCGCAATGACATAAAACTACAATGACATCTTCTCAGAAGTTACTATTTTCTAGGCACAGGAAAGCACATACTATATAGATAATGTGCTATTTATTCTACCTCTAAAGCAGCTGATGCACCTAGTGATTAGCAAGTTTCTGATTTAAGCTAGAAATTTAACAAACCCTACACACTGGACATCAACAAAAAACCTTTCAATTTTAAGGACAGAGGTTTTGAAACACCACGTCAATCTAAGTAGCACACAGAAACAAATGGAGCTTAAACAGTATATGAGGGGGAAATCATGATATGGTTTTCTACAGTAAAACAGAGATTAAGTCAGTGACCTAGGAGAAAAGCCCTCTAACTTATCTCCAACCTACCTCAAGGCTTACGGAGTCATGGATATCTTTCAAATAAAGGAAAGTGTAACATGGATAGTGGAACTTGTGCTTCTCCCCATACACCTTGCCTTTATTTTCTAACTATTCCCCAAATCCTTACTTCATTTATCTTTTCATTTATTTTTTCGATTACATCTACATCTATTTTAAGGGCTGAGGAACAAAAGGAGCATCTAGTCATACTTCAGAAGCAGTTCTTCCAGGACAGTTCAGAGTAAGCAAACAGCCTGCACCTTCACTCCAAATGTACATCAGCCTCAAGGTATAAATCTAGAGTCGCTCATCAATTCTTTTTTAAAAGGACAAGCCATCCCACTCAGATTATAAACCTCTTAAAAAAAAAAAAAAAGTGATGTAAGAAATAAAATGGCTTAAGAGGCCAAAAGTATCCCTACTGTGACTTGCAAAGTTAAGTTATACAAGTTATTTACATACTAAAATGACAGGCATCTTAGAAATGCATATTAGAAAGATTACATAAGAGTACATATGACAAGCCAGCCACTGTATAGCGAACAGAGAGTTCGCTGAACCGTAAGAGTCAACCTCAGGTTGTATTTGGTACATTCACACAGGCGTTTAGTATGTGCTGGCTTCAGGAAAAGGGTAAATTCCATTTGTGGAGCTCCAAAAAAGCAATTTTACAAATATTTTCCTCCTTCTACACAGAGAAGAGAGTTCTCCTTAGGTTAACTCCAAAACAGTTAACAGACATGCTCTTAATTGAAAAAAAAAAAGTGTCGTCTCTATTTTGATGTTAGCTCCCACTGCAGTTGTCCTTTGTCACTTGTCATGCTGGATTACTCAATGCTCTCTAGCCAGGGCAAAACACAAATACATTCCTAGCTGCAGCAACAAATGACGTACTTATTTAGCTGTGCTTCCATCTGCTGAGTTCTCCCACTCCAGAATCTGCACTGGCTTCACTCCATTCCTACATACAATTAAGGAAAAGGGTATTCACAGATAAAGCTTTTACACGTGGGTATAGAAACTGGGATGCTGAAAACGACTGCTCTCAGGTTGTACCTATCTGGCCATTAGGCAGCTGTCAAGATAAAACACGAGAAGCACTGTACGCAGGATTTATACCACTGGTACCAAAACTAGCTCCAGAAGTTATACCTAAATATAATGCTGAAGACAAACATACACTTTTCACCTGTGCTTACAGAAATTTAACTGAAGACAGCTTGCTGCTTGAACTTGTGTCCCAAAAACTCAAAGAGCCGAAGCAGACTCTTTGACACGAGTCCTTCTCTATTATATTAAACTTAAGAATACTCTGTGAATACTATCAATTTGCCCACTGGAGAGCTTAAATTATTTAATAATAAGGTAAATGCGTTATTAAAAACAAGACACTACACAGTATCTTGCAGAGTTCTGCTCTTACTAGTTGGAAATGTTTTAACCCAATACAAACATTACACTGCTGTTCTAAAAGACGTTTAGGTATTTATTTTGTTTATGTCTATAAGCTAATGTTGGATCATAAATATAATTTATGTATTATTAATTCCTCTATTCAATTCACACATACACAAAAAATCAAAAATATAACAACTCACTAGTCTCTGAAGTAATTAATAACTTTTATAATATAAAATACAAATAAATGTAAGCATTACTGCTTAAGTGATCCAGTAGCCCTTAAAACCACCAAGAATAAAACAACCTTATCTGTATATTCACTATAATACAACCTTACCTGTATATTCACTAGATACCAAAGTAAAAATATGTAAGAAATTAATTTGTAAGAAGACCAACAAAACCACAGGGTCTTAAATCGTACTAATTCACTGAGAAGTGAAAAATACAAAGTTGTATCTCATCATGCAAAACTAACATTGTAAAAACAAACCAGGACAGTTTAAGCAACTCCTAACCTGAACACCCTTACCATTACTAGCCTGTGAGAGAGCTGCTTAAAAAGTTTTGTCATTCTCTGCTGTTGACAAATACCCAGAGATTCTCAGGAACTAGAAAACATTTTTTGTCTATTCTTCAGTGGAACATTAGGAAAAGCAAGTTCTCTTCTAACATCTTAATACGTACAATGATCAGCTGAATTTTAGATCACCTGTTACAAAGATTCCTCTGATATTTTAAGTAAATCATTACATTTCACACCATCAATAACTTTTAATTGTATTATGTGCCTTGTGCAGAACAAAATGTAGGTGGTAACTTTGCAGGATTAGGGCTTACTTCCAACTGCTCTGTAACAGCACAAGCACTGAAGATACAATAACAACAAAAACAACCTGCAGATTTAACAGCAGATGCTAGTTTTCATTTGTAAATAAAAAATATGTACTTAAAACACATAAAATCTACAGTCACTATGTTTTGATAATATTGATAACAATTACCGTGACATAGGCCATACATAGTGTATGCAGCTATAAAATCTCTGGAAAGCAAGAAGCAACTTGTGGAAAACAGTAAGAACGACTGAAATAAAACTTGATATAAGCAATCTTCTTTTAAAACATCCTTTCCGTATGAGGTCACTTAAAAACGTGTATTGTAAACCTACCTGTTCTCCAGCCACTGTACACAGTATTGTCTAACAATCAGATGACAATACTTTTGGATGTTTGTCTTCTACGGGTTTATTAGAAAGATAAATGCTATCTTTTTGTTCCTCCTAATAGGTTTGGGAATCTTACCTATTTAATGGCATGCTGCCCTAGCTAAATGATGAATCCTGTCTATTGCTTTTCAAATGCACCAACCTTCTCAAAAACACTGGATGGTGTCATCAAACAAAACCTGATGTTCTGAATGATGGTGTCCGTATGCCTCCAGCGTCTTCTATCATGGCGCAGCCAGGCCTGAACAGCTTCATACAGCTCTATCTCTGGAAACCTGCTCAGGTAGTCATTATCCAAGTAAGACATGAGCTTCTCAAAGCTCAGATATGAAAGGAAGTCAGGTCTGGACATGAGTGGCACAAAATTCTCTAGCAGAAAGGAGTCCAGTTTTTCCCTGACTCCTTCGATGTTTACACCGAAATCATCCAGAAGTCTCATTATTTCTGCACAGTTTTCTAAGCAGATTTTAGCTAAGAGAAAAGAGCAGCAAAATTTTACCACCTCTATAAGCTGGACATACATGGCAGCCTGAAGGATTTCATGAACAGTGTTCATACTCAGTTCAATAGTTCCATAGTACATGAATTGGAGGACATGACTGAAGCCTGTAGCTGTCAGACCTTTCAAATGGATTTTGTCCTGATCTCGTTCTCGCATATCAGCTGTGAACATAATCCTGAAGTAATCACTCTGGGTGGCAAGCAGTGCTTTATGGGCCTGAAATTGGTGGTCTTCAATGACAAGTGTGACATCAAGAAGCAATCCCTCCTCATACAGTGCTCTGAATCCAGCAGAGACACTGGTGTCATGGATGGAGGAGCTAAACCCTTCCACGTCCCCTGCCATGAATCACCTGGGGGGAAGAAAAAATACATAAATAAAAATAAAAATAGATTGTTATTTCTAATAACATATCACAAGCCCTTCCTGACCAGATAAATCCTAACTGAGATTGCTTTTATTAAGACTTAAAAGTGTTCACCATCCTTTTTGTTTTCTCTTCAGCTGAAAAATCAACTTACGAAACAAAACACAAACTTTAAAATGAGACTATTTTGGGGCAAGAATTATTTTAAGAAAGGGTAATGAACAACTATGTGATACTGCCAAAGTGATTCCTCACTCCAAGCTATTTAGTGGTCAGATAATGAATATGCAATGCTAAAAAGGTTGTCATGGGTTTTCTTCCTGTCCCTCCCCTCAATCTTTCTAAAGAATTTATCTCATGGGAGCAATACACCCACCACTCTTGAATATCAAAGGTTTCAGAAAGGAAGCCAAACTTCCCTGACTTCAGAAACAAGCTCCAGTAGATTTGTACAAGGTATACCCTAAAAAAAAATATAGTCTATTTAAAAATGTCAGTTTACTCCAGTATATATTTCTAGGAAACTGAACATTTTCAGAGATACTATTTAAGTTTGTGTGACTCGCTTCTCCCATAACAACACAGTCCCTTTCCCCTCCCCCTTGTTTCTTACTATAGGGATTAAGTGACAAGATTTTTGAAGTGCAATATACTAAGGCAACAGGAAGCACTGACAACGTTAGGTCACAATAAATAATATTCTGTATACTGGGTTTAGTGATGCTTAATTGCTTATTAAGCATCTGAACATTTGCAGATGGATACTGTTACTTACATACAAGCTATAGTCAAACTGTAAATATGCCAAAAAGAAATTAAAGACTAGCAGAATCCTACCCTGTTAAAATTAAGGAAGATAAATATTCAGTAAAAATCTGTATCAAAAACTACTAAAAATCCAGGAAATTCTCACAATCTTGGTCAACTTCCTTGTGTTTAGGTAGGGTGAAGTTGCACGAGGCAGCTTGAACCAATTTAACAATTTATCACCAAACAACAACAGCGCACTCCATTCTCCCTCTCTGTCATTCTGGGGTCTGAGCTCCTGCTGCCTACTTTGAGACATTTCTGAGGCTCACTGGACTGCTCTAGAAAGCCAATTCAACTTGACAGAAAACTAAACGAAGGCGAAGGTGAGGATGGGATACACACAACGCCACATGACACAAACACCACCACCACCCAGCACACGCAAAACTTCAAAACCAGAGAGCTTTCTGCTCATCAGTAAGCTGACTTCTGCCTTGACACTGCAGGGGGTATGGCACAAGAGCCAACCTGATGCAGAGGGCAGGACATCGCACATGAGCAGGAAAGGGGAAGAAGAGTAACATCTTCCCCTTTTAGCATTAATCAGCTACTAGAATTAGTTCAACCATTTTGTTTCACTTTATCCCACCTTAAATTATACTGTGACATTCATTCAGTTATTTGTACATTTAACTCCAAATTTCCTGTAACAATTAAAGTTAATAATGTTTTGATACTGGTGACCTACATAAAAAGCTAAATAACACCAACATCAACACATAAAAAAACCTGCTAATTGTCAAGGTTATACAACTTTATAGCAGTATATGGACCCAGAAGTGACTCCAGGTTGGCCCGAGTTTCACAACTTCAGAGAGCAGTTACCATGTTACTCCCTCTTCCTCAAGCCCCACATCCTCAGTGCTGCCATTTTAATTGCAATGTATTTTATTAGACTCCATCAACAGATAATCATCGCCTCTCCTTAATTCATCAGCACACATCCTGGAAAATGAAACTAGAGGTACTCTTTGTCTATGCAAAACTAAAATGGTGAGTGCGTGTTTGTAGCCGCACCTCATGGAATCTGCACCGCTCCCACGCTGTTCAAGCCTCCTGACAGGTTCTGTGCACAAGAGAGTTAATGCTGGGAGTGTTCATGAAAATTAAGGGTTAATGCTGGGAGTGTTCATGAAAATTAAGGCCTTAGGACAGAATTCAAATTCCTGAAAGTAAGAGCAGCAGCAAGAGAACAAAGCTGACAATCCAATCGCTTTCTCGCCAGTATCCATGATAGCACATTCCTCTCGATGTCAGTGAAGACAGACAGAAAATGCAAACTGCTCTGGAGCTTCACTTTACAAGTCCTGCGTTCCTGAACACAGCACATGGCTACCAGAAAGAAAAATTACCATTAAATATTTCTCTTTGTTGTTCCTAATTCTCACATAAAAGCAGACAAAGACAGAATTCTTTTACTAACTCTGACCACCTCAAAAAGAAGCAACTGACGAGGAAGCATAAAGCCTGACTTTTCAGGATTTTGCTTTCTAATTGGATTTCTCACATCAAATAAAAAGGTAAATACTAATATTAGCTTTTTTCTTTACTAGGATGTTTGTAACTCCTTCCCCCACCCCCCCACCTCCAGTTTTCTGATGTTCAATAATGGTTAAGCTCATGCTTCAGTCTTTCCTGTTTAAGAGATTTAATGATCACTTGCTTTTAAATGGGACACCTGTTTTCATAAAATATACAGCATCTTGAAACAACGGTCTCTCAATTTTTGTTTGAAATTGGCCAAGAGGTTCAAAGGTTACTACGATGCTCAGACAGTACAAAGGTGTAAGTTACATTTCTTTAGGAGATCAACTAAGACCTATGGCTCAGCTTCATTTCCAAGATCAATGGAAAAGATGGGACAGGAAGGTTGCAATTTACAAATCTGTGACATGAACAGAATAACAGAACAATATATTCGGAAAAAAAAAAAGTCAGAAATGAAGCAACACTCCCCAGATGACTGAACCAACACATATTAATCTGAAAATAATGGAATTGCCCATCATACAGGCGGCAATCTCACGGAAGGGATTTCTTCAAAACAGCATATATATTACTGCGAACGTGAACAACATAGAAGAACCACACCAGTAAGCTCCAAACACACACTTCAACTTGACAAAATACAATTACATTATAGCTACTCTGCAAATAAAAGGAGAAAAATTAACTTCTACATAGGACAGATTTAAAAGGCCTCTTTTGCCACCCTCAAAGCAGCAAAAAGGAAAAGTTGGGAAATGAAGACAAGCACAGACAAATGGTAGAGGGTAAATGCACCAACTCCAGATGAGCACCTCCAGGGTTCCTTTTAAGGATCAAAAAAAATACGTAACACACAAACCCCAAAAACCAGCACCAGAGCGACCTGGACAACGGGCTGTAGGTGGCCCTGCTGAGCGAAGCAGTGGGCCAGATGACCCCCAAAAGTCCCTTCCAACCTCAACCAGTCTGTGATTCTGTGATCAAGTTGCTTTTACACAGAGACCACTTTGAATTTTTTTTTTTGCAACCATCCTTTTAATCATGATTAAACAGCAATAAGACAAACACACACAAAAAAAGAGATATAAGCTACTACCCTCGCAATTTTAAATCTATCAAAAATGAGGTGTTAGGAATAACCAAAACAGATTTTTAAAAGCCCCCTTCATTTAGGAAACACCTTTTAGGGTTCTAATTTTCACATCTCCCTAAAACTGGCTATTCTGTAAAAATGTATTAAAACCAGAAGTTAGCCACAAAACTCTACAATGGTAACAAAGTGGTATACAAGCTGAAATTATTATTTCAGAATGTTTTAAAAATGTGGGGGTTTAAGTCACTTAATCCTTCTTTTCATATCCCTGCTATATTATTTTCAGTAAATCTATAGTTTTCAATCTCAAGATATTTTTCCTCCCAGACAGCATTTAACAGATTATTTAAGTAGAGACAAAACCAGTAAGACTTCTCCATAACACCATCTAAAGAAGCTTCAGATTTCTGCAAACTACTAGTCTTCCCGCATTAAATGAGTAAATACCCTTTTTTTGGCACAAACCCATAAACAATAGCAGCAGATACATTTTTCATCACAACAGATAAATGTATTGGCCAGTGCAAATACACAAGGGGTTTAAAACAGCACAGAGACTGGGAAACTAGATAGTTAATTGCACATTATGATCAACTGGTAAAAATGTTCATTTCTATAGCTAATATCCTCAGTAAAAAGCATACAGCAATGTGGTAGTTCAAATATTTAAAAAGCAATACAAAATACTCTCAGATGAAATAATTTTTCTAAAGTGTAGCTATGCCATTCCTCCCACACACAGCCTTGCAATCTTAAATGCAATTCTACGCACTATTCAAGTGCTGCAGCGTATTTCCCAGAGGACAATACCACAACGGGTTATTTTATATACCTTCAATAAAGATGAAAAATTAAGAGTTAGATTTTCTTCACCCATGCAAATCACAACAGCACACTTAATCCTAACAAAGACATGTAGCCTACAGTGGTCTATAAAAAAAATGGAACAAAAAAATCCAATGTATAAACAATAAAGGGGAAAAAAAAAAAATATAAGTTGACGTTCTGCATTGTTCTCCGCATACTAGAGCTGATCAGTATAATGCAGCACAGGAAGTAAGACTCTGCTGAAAAGCCAAAAGAGAAATATGCTTAGCCTTATTAGCTTTTCCTGACATTTCCTCCTCTTTTAGCACATAATGCATTACAGAGTCTACTCTGCTGTGACTGTAAAAGCACTTACTTGGAACACTGATTTCTCATCTTTATTCCGCAGCTGTAATAGAAGTCTGAAAACCTTGTTCCAGACTGTTTTTTCTTGCTAAACAAGGGGAACCTTCTTCCCTCAGGGTGTCCGAGGCTCTTAGTCACAAGCAGAAGAAATGGAGTCTAAATGCACAGGCTACTGAGAAGCAAGTTATGGAATACCCGCTTTTGGGTCACGCCCTGCTTGATTTAAAAATCTATCCAAAAGGCAGATTTCTACCTTCCTGAAAAAGTGCCCTTTAAATAAGTGTGTTCACATAATATGTAAGCTTATATGCACTTTCTATGGATAGAAATGTATTGTTCTAGGAAAGAATTGACAGTATGAACTCTAGCACACCAGCTGAAAGGCAGATTTCTGCTTTCCCTTACTGCTGTTCCTTAATAA